CCCTGTATACATTGTATCCCGTATACCCCTACTGACCGGACCCTGTATACATTGTATCCCGTATACCCCTACTGACCGATCCCTGTATACATTGTATCCCGTATACCCCTACTGACCGGACCCTGTATACATTGTATCCCGTATACCCCTACTGACCGGACCCTGTATACATTGTATCCCGTATACCCCTACTGACCGGACCCTGTATACATTGTATCCCGTATACCCCTACTGACCAGACCCTGTATACATTGTATCCCGTATACCCCTACTGACCGATCCCTGTATACACTGTATACCGTATACCCCTACTGACCGGTCCCTGTATACACTGTATCCCGTATACCCCTACTGACCGGTCCCTGTATACATTGTATCCCGTATACCCCTACTGACCAGACCCTGTATACATTGTATCCCGTATACCCCTACTGACCGGACCCTGTATACATTGTATCCCGTATACCCCTACTGACCGGACCCTGTATACATTGTATCCCGTATACCCCTACTGACCGGTCCCTGTATACATTGTATCCCGTATACCCCTACTGACCAGACCCTGTATACATTGTATCCCGTATACCCCTACTGACCGGTCCCTGTATACATTGTATCCTGTATACCCCTACTGACCGTACCCTGTATACATTGTATCCTGTATACCCCTACTGACCGGACCCTGTATACACTGTATTCTGTATACCCCTACTGACCGATCCCTGTATACACGGTGTCTCTGTCTTACCGTAGTAGAATGGATCTTGTTGCTCCGTCTCAGGATCTGATGATAGAAGAGAAAGTGTTAAACATCAATAAATCCTTCTGCCGATAATCAATACTCCCCATAGGATACAATGTATGAACCCTTTCTGCCCCCCCTTCCCCCCCGTCCTTGTGTATATGGGGGGGAGGGGATGGAGGGGGACTCTCGATCGATGTGACCCCTCCTCTGTCAGCCCTTGTGCCGTGCTCGGCTGTTTCCAAGGCCACCGGCTGCTTTATGGACATCAATCAATTAAATGGCAATCAATCAATTGGATTTGGGGGTACAGAGAAATGCCAATGTAATCCTGGCAGATTTAGATACAAGTCCCCTCCCCCTCTTCTCACACTCTGATGCCTGAGGATCAGGGGGAGCTGGGATGTCACTTTTCGGTGGACTGGCCCTTTAAATCCAACAGACCTCATGTCCTGTGTAATGTGGATATTGGGATGTCAGCAATTTGGCAGCGCCGACATTAACCCTTTCGGGGTGCGGAAGGTCAGATA